AGGACGGCTTCTCTTCTACGTCGGGAGCCGTGACTTGTGGAGTTGATGCATCCTTGTGAGCAGCGTGTGTTAGGGTTTCCTCCTTCACACATGATGTACACCTGAAAACAAGAAGACACTAATCAAGCGTCCTCCACCTGGTGAACAAACAGCAGGACTGTCAGCAAACCTTTTGGTCCAACAACAGATTAAAAATAGGATTTGTGCAAACTATTAACCCGAGCAGAACTCCTCCTATCAGATGTGGGCTGGTGGGTGTCTGCGCCATGCATTGGGTGGGGTGGTCCGTTTGTTACCCCAGTAAGAACGTGACCTTCTCCTGGTTCTGGTTCTGGTTGTTCCCTCTGGACAGTAGTACCTGCTTGTACATTTGTGTGTGTGTGTGTGTGTGTGTGTGTGTGTGTGTGTGTGTGTGTGTGTGTGTGTGCGTGTGCGTGTGCGTGTGCGTGTGCGTGTGCGTGTGCGTGTGTGTGTGCGTGTGCGTGTGCGTGTGCGTGTGCGTGTGCGTGTGCGTGTGTGTGTGTGTGTGTGTGTGTGTGTGTGTGTGTGTGTGTGTGTGTGTGTGTGGAGTGTGTGTGTGTGTGGAGTGTGAGTGGGTGTGTGGCATTCATTCCTGTGTGTTTTTAGGTTGAATGCCCTTTATGTGTTATGCATGAGGGTAGGAGCGTGTGATTGTTTATCTGTCAGGTTGGGTCTTGGACTCGGTCACTGCAACGTCTATTTTTTTTTTTTTTACCGTGTCCTGTCCGGCTGTGAGGTAATCAGAATTGATGTCTGAAAAGACAAGCCTTACAGTTTTACTCTCACAGGTGGAGTGTTAAAGCTTCTGCATCTTAGCCCTAGCCTCCCACTGCTGCGTCTCTTCCTTTCCCTTTCATTTCCATCTCAGTGTCCGTTGGGATTAAAAATAAACCAAAAGCAATTCTAATAATGTTGTTATGCCAGATGGGTTATCATAGCTGAAGCTGTAACACTTCAGTTCAGTTCAGTTTACTTAAGTAGCACCAAATCAAGAGTCGTCTCAAGGCACATCGCAAAATAAACATTCCTACTGATTTCAGGTTATTATGCCAATAGGGATGCACTTTTACCGATGACCGATGAGCCACAATGTAGTCATTAGTAACAATGTAGGTCGGTAACAAGATGGCGCCTGTGCTCGGCTTAGCTGCGGCCACCGGCCACTTTTTCAAACTTTTCTCCACTAACCTCTTCTTTTCCACCTTGCTCCTGTCTGTGATCCTCTTCAGTAGTGTCCCTGCTACAATCTCCTATGATCGCCAGACTCTTTTGTCCTTCCGTTCATTCACGATCGCCCAAGATGCACCGAGGATGTACCTCCCTATTTGTTTATCTGAGTGGTGCACTGGCCCGGAGCTAAACGACTATCCCAACCAGCGTTCCTCCAGTGATGTTTATCCGGTCCCGGGAAAACGTCGGAGGAAAAGAGGTAAACGAGCAGGAATCCAGGTGGGAATAAGACTTCTCTTAAAGCGTGGTTTATCTAGTAAACATCGGCGTGATCTTCTAGCTACTTGTCCTTTGTTTGGAAACTTGAGCGCCACTTCCGCATTCCCACCAGGACGCGTTGCGGCGCGGTTTTTCCGTCCAAGTTTGTTAAGGTCGGTTTATCTTCACTCCTCAGTGGTTTCTCCTCCTGTTCCCTCCATGAGTGGTTTTTATAAACACCGTGGATCTAACCCTACTAATTTACGTCCACTAACTCCAGCTGTTTCTGCAGTTTCTGATTCCTCCACCTCACTCAGCATGGCTCTATTAAATAGCCGCTCTGTTAACAATAAGTCCTTCCTGCTCAATGATCTAATTCTCTCTAAAAACCTGGATTTTCTGTTTCTGACCGAAGTTTGGCAGCAAACATCTGATTATTCTGGTCTGATTGAACTCTGCCCGAGTGGTTATTCTTTTCTTAGCCAGCCCCGGGGTTCTGGTCGTGGTGGAGGCCTAGCTGTTGTTTTCAGAGGCCATCTTCCATGTAGCTCTACAACCTCTGGTCACTGTGCTTCCTTTGAACTGCAGCTGATTAAAGTCGGGCGTAAGGACCCGTTCTACTGTGCTGTGGTTTATCGTCCACCTGGTCCAAACAGTTCTTTCCTTCAGGAGTTTAGTGACTTTCTATCCTCCACTGTGAAGCTGTCCAGACTAGTGATTGTGGGTGACTTTAGCGTCCACGTTGATGATCCCTCTGATCTCTTTGCCATGAATTTCTCCAGCCTTATGGACTCCTTGAGCTTTACCCAGCATGTTTCTGGCCCCACCTCCTGCTCGCCGTATGGTCAGTTCTCGTTTTCTTAATGAGAGCACAGCTAGCAATTTTTCTGCTGCTTTTGATCCACCCTGCTCTTCTGATAACGACCCAGATTCCTTAACTTCTCAGTTTAACGAGCACTGCCTCTCCATTCTGGACAACATCTGTCCTGTCAGAACCAGATCAGTTCCTGCAGTGAACCCTACTCCCTGGTTTAATGACAGCCTTCGCAGCCTGAAACGCCAATGCAGAACAATTGAGCGCTTGTGGAAGAAAACCCATCTCCACGTCCATCTGCTGCACCTAAAGGATCTTCTGACATCCTTTAACTCTGCAGTCAGAGACGCTAGGGTTTCCTATTTTTCCAACCTGGTGTCCCAGAGCAAAGGGAACCCCAAGGTGCTGTTTAACACCATCAGCAGCATCGTGTCTCCTGCCTCTCCTACAGCCTCCATCCACTCTGTTACAGACTGTGAGAACTTTCTGTCTTTCTTTGTGGACCAAGTTAATAAGGTTAGATCTAGCATCTTTTCTTCAGCCTTATCGCTGCCTCTCCCGACTCCAACCGGGTCCATCATCCTAGATAGCTTTGCTCCTGTTTCTTTGCCTGAGTTAACCAAACTAGTTAACTCTATGAAGACCTCTGCATGCCCCCTCGACATCTTACCCTCATCTTTGTTTAAAAGTGCTTTTCAGCCCATCAGTCCCAGCGTGCTCTCCATTATTAATGCTTCTCTGGTTTCTGGTCAGGTCCCTGCTTACTTTAAGAATGCTGTAATCCACCCGCTTCTTAAAAAAACGAGTCTTGACGCCTCTCTCCATAGCAGCTTCAGACCCATCTCTAAACTTCTCTTCATCTCCAAGATCTTGGGAAAGGTTGTGGCTAAACAACTCACAGCTGCTCTTGATGAACATAACATCTATGATAGCTTACAGTCGGGTTTTCGTAGAGCTCATTCTACTGAAACAGCTCTTCTTAGGGTCTCTAATGACCTTCTGACTCACAGTGATGCAGGGGACTGTTCTGTTCTGGTCCTGCTGGACCTGACTGCAGTCTTTGACACTGTTGACCATCACCTGCTACTGGAGAGGCTGAGAGACTGGGTAGGCCTATCAGGAACTGCTCTGGAGTGGTTCTCCTCTTATCTCTCTGAGCGCTCCTTTTCTGAGGCCGTCTCCAAGTTTAAGTCCTCCACCACCTCCCTTACCCATGGTGTCCCACAAGGTTCTGTGAAGGGGCCTCTGCTCTTCCTCCTCTATCTGCTTCTTCTTCAGCACATCCTGTCAGAGTGGGGAGTGTGTGTGTCTGTGTGTGTGTGTGTGTGTGTGTGTGTGTGTGTGTGTGTGTGTGTGTGTGTGTGTGTGTGTGTGTGTGTGTGTGTGTGTGTGTGTGTGTGTGTGTGTGTGTGTGTGTGTGTGTGTGTGTGTGTGTGTGTTCTGTCTTCTCAAACCTCCAGTGATTTGTGGCAGGTGGCTGCTCATACTACTAAAGGGGAGTTTTCCTCTCCACTGTTGCTACATGCTTGCTTAGTATGAGGGATTTCTGTCTCTATAAGTCAGTGACTCGATGCACTCTGATGGGTTCAGGAAACTTTTCACTAATTGGCATAATGAACTGAACTCAATGCACTGATGAGTAGGTTCAGTTGGAATGTTTACTTTGTGAAGTGCCTTGAGGCAACTCTTGTTGTGAATCAGTGTTATACAAATAAACTGAATGGAAATTAATCTGTGGCTTTTTCTGATCTGACTGATGATGAAATAATCTGTACAAAAAATAAATATACGTTGCTGCTGCTCACCATGATGTATGTGGAATTATTTTTTTGTAAAGACAGCAACAAGTGAGTTAAACTGTTGTGAAATTCTAAAATAAAGGTTGACATAACATTTCAAATAACTTTAAAATTTCTTTTTCTGAAAGAGTTCTGTTTCACAAATTTGAGCTACGTGTGTTGGATGCATTTTAGTTTTTAATGAAAAAGAATAAAGGAGCGTGCATGCACAACAACAGGCTAAACTCTGCCAGAATATTACAATAATGACCAATTACATTTTCCTTTGCCCCTTCTGGTCACCCAAGGTCCGGGGGTGCCATTGGTTCCAAGCAGAAATACTTTAAAATAACTTATTTTGTTCAATGTGCGTGTTCATTCTGACAGTCTGTCTCCAGAATGGATTGTCCTTCACCTGGACACCACAAAACGATCTTTACTGTTGATTTAGCCATCAGGTTGTGTTACCCCTGCTGAAACGAAGAGAGAACCACATTTATCTTGTTCCCCTTAATGTTTTGGAGCTTTTAAGGAAGGAAAACAAAGATACTAATTTTAAAAGCAAACCGCTACTGTCGCTTCTTTTACCTCAAATTACCACAAGAGGGAGACAAAGTCCATTTTAAGGAGACGCAGGTGGGCATTGCCATAATTAGAACTTTTTTCTTTAGTCAACATCAAAACTAGAAAGTCTCAAGAAAATAGCAGATTTTTTTTCTTTGTAACACATTTAATAAAATGAAATATTTAAAAAAGGTGCATTAACATCTACAGAAAGTTCCTACAGAAAAAAATAAGTACTTTTAAACAACTCCCAGTTTTGAACATTGTTGTTGTGTTCCAGGCCGTGACTTGGATTTAAAATAGTAAAACCTGAATTAGATTAGAGTTGGTGATGTTTGTGGAGGGAGGAGTTAGTGGAGCCAATGAGGGGTGTCTTAACAGAATGTGTGTCCCCCTGTGGTCTAATGTGATTTCCGCCCTGTTCCGGTTCTGTACTCTTCTGAGTAGGGAGCCTATAAATGGGCGGTGAGACGCGGCTGCGCGGTTCGCTGTGACCGACTCTCAGAACCGATCCAGAGGATGGATAGGACCTTGTTTCCGGTTCTGGTGTTCCTGCTGTCCGTGTCCTCAGCAGCCTCCCTGGAGCCCTACGACCTGCTGTATGACACCGCCGTGCAGGCTTTCTCCACCGGGGACTATGAGAATGTGGTGCTCTACATGGAGGCAGCGCTCAGCAGCTACGCACAGGTCCGGAGCTCCAAAGTCCGGTGCCGGCTGAGGTGCCAGGACCAGCATCCGTTTGATGGAACCTTCTCGGACTTGCGTTTCTTCGACGTGGTCCTCCAGAGAGCTGCGTGCATGAATGCATGCATTGATGAGAAACTTGGCTCCCAGTCTGTGCACAAAGTCAGCGAGGATGTGGTGCAGGACTTCCACAGGAGGATCCCGTACAACTACCTCCAGCTGGCTTATCAGAAGGTAAGGAGCTGGGTCCGAGGTTCTGAATGAGAACCATCGTTCTCCGCTCACTCAGCGGGGGGTGTTCAGTCCTGCTCAACATTTACCTGCTGCATTCTTGATCAGCTGTTTCTGCTCCTCAGCAAGGTGATGCTGAGCGATAGGAGGAGAGAGGAAGTTCTGCTTTCATGTAGGAGATTTATAGAAAGTTGGTCTCCTGTCAGCACCTCAGCATTGTAATCACCAGCAGACCTGCTGCGTTTAAGCTTGTCACTTAGTTTTCTTTCATGAAAGATAAAAACTGATGTTCTTTCTGAGGAGATTCATCATGACAGCTGAGTTTAAGTTGTGACAAATAAACATAAAAACTAACTGGACTAAATGCTGGAGATGCACTGATTCTGCTTTAGAGAGCCGATACTGATTACTGATTCTTATACGGGTTTGTGTTGATGGACTGGGACAAGCATTTTATCGTTTATGTTCTAATGCCATGACCTTGTTCCATGTACAGACCAAAACAATAACTGAGAAATGGATCACCAATGAAGTGGCTCTTATGGAAAATTGGCAGATTCTGAAACCAGCTGTTTTTGGGAGTGCATCTCTCCTAAAAATACGATTTCAACAATAAAAAAAGTCAGAAAACAAGTAGATTGGGAAGGATTCATCGTTTTACTTTTATGTCAAAATATGTCTAAACAATCAGTTTGTGGTTCTGAAAAGATGCTCTTGGTCTAAAGTGTTTCTGAGCCTTTTGAGCATCCACAGTTAAAGCAACACTAATTAACTTTTCCCTCTTCTCCCTCCTACTGGTTGAAAGAGGAATTACAACTGATGTAAACAACTCTTTCGCAGCCTAATGAAGGTAATAATGAGCTAATGCTAATTTGAGCCAGCTGATTCTAAATAAGCCACAAAACAAAAAGATAAACACTGTTGGACAAATAAAAACTATTACTTAAAAATCCAGTAGCAACAAAGCCAGGTCACCATCAGTCCATGATTTCCTTTAGCTACCTCTAACAAGTGTAGGCTGTACCTCCGTGCTCTGCCTGTTATCAGCTGAAAATAAACGTAGAATTTTTGCGTAAACATTTATCAAACATAAACATAAATTGCTGGATGTTTTTTTAAACAGTAATCCACATTGTTACTGGTCCAACTGGAACGAGCTGTTAGAGCTCATCAGCTGCTTCTCCAAACTGAGGTTGTTCAAAGAATGATCAACAACTGATTTCAAGTGAAGTTTCCTACATAAACCCCCTTTAAAAACCCCGACTATAACTTTAAAATTTGATTAGAACAGCTGTAACAGTGAACCCCGTTGTCTGAGGCCTAATCCCAATACTCGCACTTCCACCCTTGTGCCCTTCAACTGCGTGATCCTGGCCAGGGGTGGGATTGCGTAGGGTGTCCTGATTCTCAAGTGCAGAAGTTGATCACGCTCCTTTTGCACCCTTGATCCATACTTCACCCAAGTCTGCGTCGATGCAGACCTGGGTGAAGGGTATTACCCACAATCCATTGCTGCGTGAGAAAAGGCTCAAGTGCCTTTTCTGAAAATAAGTCATTTCTAATGAAAGTTGTTAATTTTAGGACAATTAGTTAATGCTCTGAATGTTTCAGACAAGGCAGCAATGAATGTGAATTTATTTCAAATAAGTGTTTGGTTATTTGTTTGAACGTTATTTACAAAGGTTTTTTTAAAAAGTAGCACAGCGACCAGCATCCCGGCATGTGTCGCGGTCGACGACGCCATGCTCCCTGTCAAGTCAGCAATTATTTGCCCACTTGTGTACCACGCACTCGAAGCTTTACTGCCCACTTTCTCCAAGTCCACTTCACAGAAGACCGTAAGGCACCGTGAGTATTGGGATTGGGCCTGAAACGAGGGAAACTAGATTTTACCACAGAGTCTTTTTTTTTTAACTTTTTAATAAAGTTCTATTTGTTTTCATAATCTATAAACCAGCATTCATGGTAAAAGGAAATGTAATGTTTTATTAGCAAACAGATTTCTCTTATTTACAACTTCTTTATTTGTATTTTTTCCCATGAGATGTTGAGCTTTTGTTGACCATGAGTCATGGGAACATATTGAAGGAGAGATGAACATGCCTGGGAACAAAGTGTAGGAGTGGTATTCATCCGCTGCGTGTGTGCACGTGTTTGTGTGTGTGTGTGAGAGAGAGCGAGGGAGTCTTTGTACTGTGTATTACCCATGAGAGCAAGTATTTTGTATCTTCAGCATTCACACAGGGTTCCACCGGGGACTTTTACATGTAAAACCCTCATAGACGTTTATCTGAGAAGAGTTGAGTTTTGATCTTATTCACTATAATATTACAGGTTTTTGATTACATGTGACCTCTTTTAAATCTCCAAATTCAGCATGGGAAAGACGAGCCGGGCCTAACGAACAGTACACACTGATAAAGTTGTGTAACAGTAAACATAGCAGAACGTCAGCAGCAGCCTTGTGTTGTCTCCAGGGCATTTCAGAGGTTATTATGCTGCGTGTAAGGGATAAACGGGGCCTGAGTGACATTTTAACCTACTTGGAGCTCGGATGGGAAGTTGGCATCATCTTCCTCTCACATATCCGAGACCCAGACGGCTTCTTGTTCAGACTGGTTTCACATGTTGCGGTGATGACACACGGCTTCCACCTCTCAGGAGGAGAATAAAGTCTACCGGCCCTGTTAGGGTTTGTGGGGATCTTTATTTTTTTCTGAGAAAGCGGAGACGGATCGAGAGCTGACGTATTCATAAAAGTCTGCTGTCTTGTCTAGACATGAGCAGCAGAGTCATGCTCTCACACACAGATGCTTATCCAGCTGGAAAAATGTTGGTCATCTTTTATGATTTCTCAAACATCTGTTGGGGGGATTATGTTTCTCCCGCTCATGCTTGTAGGAGTTCTTAGCTTCAGCCGCCCGTTTGTGTCTCCTGGACTGAAGACGCCTTTATGAGCTGGAGAACATGCAGGAATTTTCGGTGGTTACAACACTTACCTTCATCCCACCACGGGTCCGTTCCCGCTGGCCGGTCCACTCTGAAATCATCAGATCCAAGACTGGGATCTCATTCTTACTGTAAATGTATATTAAAGCACCTACATACTGTATATGTGTTGTTAAGAGGGGGTTTGGTGGTATTTATGCAAAAATAAATAACATCTCTACAGTATTTACCATTCCAGCATCGTACGCCCTACGCCTAGGGGATATAAAGCTGCCTTTTGGACCTGCTGCACAGTCATTAAGTGTTCTTCTCACTCATCTAAGCCTGGCAAATATTTTATTTTCCCGTTGTGGTCTGTTTGCTTTTCTAAAGAAAAAAAGAGGAAGGGGGTGTGTCACCTGTTACAGGTATTAAAGGCAGAATTCTGGCTGCCTCGGCTCTTTTTACAGCTCTGATCAAAGCCTCTGAACCGCCTAACAAGAGATTAAATGATCCAAACTCTAGAATTTACAGTTCCAAAAACAGTTCTGCAGGCTTATTCAGATTATATTTATGTTTAGTTCATCTCTGTTTATTGTGCTGTCAGCAGCCCAAGCCAGAGGGATTATATTTTTAGTGCTTCTTGCCCAAAAAGTCTGGGACAGACTCCAGCTGTCCTGAAATCCTGGACAAGGGTAAAGGCAGGTTGGAACATTTAAAATAAAAATCAGTAGATTTTTGTATCTTTTTTTCTGGTTGTTTGAAAATCCTTTTTGACCCACTGGATTAATTAATTGAACTCTAGACATTAATGATCACTTTAAAACAATAACTGCTGAAATCCATCTAATTAAAGATGGTTGCCACAGCCAACAAAAACAGGGCTTTAGTTCAGGGTGTGTCTGAGTTCAGCATCCTTCTTAGGCATCATTTTAAGGCCCATTTAACTCACAGCAAAGCATCAAAGCTCCAAATTTGAAGGATGCTCAAACTTCATCCTTAAATGCGTCCTTGTTTCCCTCGAATGTTGAGGATGGGACTGGTGCATCCTAATTGGCTAAGACTTTCCCAGGGTTCATTGCGTGCTGAATGGGAGAGTTTAGTTCTTGTAACAATGGCGGACAAAGCTGGTGCAGATGACTGTTTTGAATATTAATACATTAATATTTGGTGGTTAAAAATTAGAAACATAAAGTGGTTGTGTTGTTAGACTTATCTAGCGTATTTGTTTTTTTAGCTGGTTTTCCAAATCCTGTATTTCTTCATGTATTACCATAAAATTTAAAATGAACTTTTTTTAAGCACAGTCACAGTTGCTAGGCAACAGGACCTATGTTGAGATAGGGGTGGGAATTAGTCTAGAGCTCTAGACAGTCCGTAGCAGAAGCAAAATGATTTTGCTTTGCAGGTCGGTTTAGCCACACTCCATTGGAACCTCAGCAGGCCCGAACAGACTTTGCCTTACCAATCACAGTGCTCTGTGTGTGTGGTGGGCCAATTCAATTCAGTTCAATTCAGTTTATTTATATAGCGCCAAATCACGTCAAGAGTCATCTCAAGGCTCTTCACTCAGTAAACATTCCAGTACAGGTCAGTTCATTAAGCCAATCAGTAAAAAGTTTCCTTTATAAGGACCCCAGCAGATTGTATTGAGTCACTGACTAGTCTTTACCACAATCCTCATACTAAGCAAGCATTTGGCGACAGTGGAGAGGAAAACTCCCTTTTAACAGGAAGAAACCTCCAGAGGATCCTGGCTCAGTATAAGCAGCCATCCACCATGACTCATTGGGGATCGAGAAGACAGAGCACACACACACACACACACACACACACACACACACACACACACACACACACACACACACACACACACACACACACACACACACACACACACACACACACAACATTGTGATTTCCTAGGGGATATTCTATTTAGTAAGAGATGAACGTTATTGTCTAATCTTAGTGAATCTATAATTAATTGAACAGGTGAACTAATAGTAGCACATTCCATGTCAAAGAAAGTAAAATGTTATTATCAGGAGCTCAACAGAACACCATTGTTGCTT